GTAATATTTATCACGGCTATACAACCCTGGTTCCAACATGATGAAGATAATGATTTATTTGAATTAATCCGCAATTGAAACTTTTATCATCAAATAACGTAAAAAGAAGATATTTAGAAAATGCATACAATGTTTTGTATGCAGTTCCACATTTAATACATTTTACCCATAATACATTTTCCACAAAAAAAAACAAAATTAATCTTATCCTACGTACAATTAGCTCTATTTAAGTAAGTATGTATCAACAACGTGTCCTAAAACTTTAACCAGTTCAAAATGTCTAGATTTGAAAATACTGTCAATTTAGTATTGAATTAATTTTTTAAACTTAACTCCATGTTTTCAAAATTAAGGAAGTAAGTACAATGAAACTAACAAAGATGGAAAATGTTCACGGATACGAAAATGTAGTATTTTGTGCTGAAAATGTTCTATTTTTTTTTATTTTATACGATACAAACTAGATAAATATATAAATAGATAAATATAAGTAGTTTATATAAATATGTATAAAGAGTGGACCAAGGTCCAAAACAGTAGCGCACCTAGAATTTTACTCTGGGGGGGGGGGTTTGGTTGGGCACCGAAATTTTTTTATACTACCTCCGGGGGCCCCCTGGGTGTGCCACTGGTCCAAAAGTCTGGAAACGACCAATTATCTCGTAAATTGCTAGTCATAATTTTACACCATTTGAGGTACACCTATTTTCGGATACGGAGATTCCATATTTGATATTTGCAATGTTGCCAGATTTGCCGATTCTCTTATATTATTAGTAACTTTGGTTTTTCAAATTCATCACCCTGTATATTCAGTCATTATTGGAATCTCCTATTCAATACGAGTTCAACCATATGTAACACTTATGATTTTATGTAGTCTGGAAGGTCTTAAATACATAAAACAGTGCAAAATATGTAGATTTTAATAAATTTAAATATTTAAATGTAGAATGCTGTGATTTTGACATTTGTTTACCATTTACATTATTAACTAAAACTGACAGTAGTTGTGTTTCGAAAAGTTCTGCAAGATAAATTGCTTCTCTAAAATGGCTCTTAACGAAAAAGAACGAATTACTATTCTAATGATGAGAGGGTACGGTGACAGAAAAAGATCTTATTGTGAAGTAGCCAACTTGTTCAATGATACTTTCCCAAATCGTTCTCTTATTCATAAGGCGACGGTACAAAAAACTGTAAAGCGATTTGAGGAATCTGGAGAAGTAAAAGATAGATACCGATCATGTAGACCAAAAAGCGTTAGGAATGACAACAAAACTTTAGATAGAATGCAAAGTTTTGTAGCAGATCCACATACATACTCACGCAGGGTTGCACAAGTACATGATGTAGGTCGTTCTTTAGTCTTACGTGTATTACGTAAGAATAAATTTAAACCATACAAAATTAACTTATTGCAAGAATTAAGTGAAGATGACTTCGATCGTAGATTAGAGTTTACTGAGGTAATGATGGATAAAATTGAAAATGATAAAAATTTCGTTAACAGAATATGTTTTTCCGATGAAGCAACCTTTACACTGTGTGGAAGTGTAAATCGACACAATTTAAGGTACTGGTGACGTAAATCCACACTGGATGCGTGAAAACCATACTCAACGACCACAAAAATTAAATGTATGGTCAGGTATAGTAGGTACTGAGTTAATTGAGCCATTTTTTATCGAAGGAAATTTATGTAAGATAGTTACGAAATGTAACTTAGAAATGAAATTGTACCTACACTGAGAAACTTGTTTGGGGCCAATTTTAATCAGATGGATGAGGTTTCAGCAAGATGGAGCTCCAGCTCATTTTGGTGTAAATGTTCGTCGTTATTTAGATGAGATATTTCACGGACGATGGATTTATAGACGAGGTAAAATTGAATGGCCGCCACGTTCACCTGATTTCAATCCTAAAGATTATTTTTATTGAGGATAATTGAAAAATTCAGTTTACAGAACTAAACCAGCAAGTCTCGCAGAGCTAAGGCAACGAATTATCGATGAATCTCGAATAATTTTTAAACAATCATGGAGTAATGTGGTAGACGCATTCTACCATCGATTAGGTTACTGTCAACTCACACATGAAGCACATTTTGTACACTTGATAAAGTAACCATTATATTATAAAATGTTGTAATCTATCAATTGTTACGTTTTGATGTAGGTGGTCGAAAATACCTAGTATTAAAACATTTATTGAGACAATTATGTGTTGCGAGACTTCAGTTTCATGTATTTAAGACCTTCCAGACTACATAAATTCATAAGTGTTACATATGGTTGAACTCGCATTGAATAGGAGAATCCAATAATGACTGAATATACAGGGTGATGAATTTGAAAAACTAAAGTTACTAATAATATAAGAGAAACAGCAAATCTGGCAACATTGCAAACATCAAATATGGAAGATTCGTATCCCAAAATAGGTGCACCTCAAATTTTGTACAATTATGGCTAGCAATTTACGAGATAATTGACCGTTTTCAGACTTTTTTGCCACTCTGTATAAATATAATATAAATAAATGTTGACAGAGCAATTGTAGAACCAATTACCACATATGGTGCCGAATGTTGGACGATGACAAAGAATGAACGAGATAAAGTAGACGTTGTGGAAATGGATTATCTTAGAAGGTCATGTCGAGTATCGAGAATGGAAAGAATCAGGAATGAGGAAATACGAAACCGTACAGGAATTAGAGATACTCTTTCAGATAGAATACAAGGAAGGCAATTACAATGGTATGGTCACGTGATGAGAATGGAGGAGGAGCGGTGGCCAAAGAAAGCCTTAATGTATGTTCCGCCAGAAAGAAGGAAAAGGGGAAGACCACCAAATTCCTGGAGAAGAGAAATTACAAAAACAATGCAATCTAGAGGCTTAGAAGAGGGAGATTGGGGAGATAGGAAAAGATGGAGGCTGAAATGCGGGAAGCGGCAATCGCCGTAGGACCCCCGTTATATGATGATGATGAATAAATGTTGACGTTTATATACTATAAATATGACTATAAATAGATGTTGACTTCAAAAAAGTTCAACTCCTCAGACCTTGTAGTCTTCAACATTCCCTGCAATATATTACAGATCATCCAGACAGTGCAGAATTCATCAGTTTCTCACATTATTTTACAGAGAGCGATACAACTTCAGCATTTTATAATAAAGGTAAAATGATCTGCGACATTGTATGAAAATGTTTAACAAGAGTATTACTTAATGCAAAGTTAGAAAAATTTTAGAAGCTAGCAGATACTGTACGATATTATTGTCTGGTCTTGAATTGAGCACTGTCAAGATTTATCAGCTTTGCTTTGTCATATGCGCTATTAGTCTTTTATTAAACCTAAGTTCTACTAAAAATGCTGCCTGTGAAAAGCACATCAGAGTTTATGTGAACGAACAAATTTGGCTTAAGAACAAAAATATTGATTAGAGATGGATAAATTGCGAAGGTTCTTTGTAACCAGTAAAAATGCTAAATAAGCTTGCACCAGAAAAACTGCTTGTAATGATATATTGCAATTGTACAAAATTATGTGGTACAGCGTGCAGCTGTAAAAAAGTTGGACTTTTCTATAATGCAGCCTGAGGAACTTGCTCTGCTGAATTGTCAAAACTGTCATCCAATTACAGATCAAGGGAAGGAACTCGAAAATTATAGTTCTGATGGAAATTAAACTCTGATTATATAAAATATTATATTAAACATTGATTACATCGAAATACATACTTTTAATTTTCTAGTTTTAAATTATAATATATAAAATATACATTTAATAAATTGTATCTAGATAAATTTAATGTTTTTTTCTACAATATTTTGTAAGAGTGATTCTTAGTGGTTATAACACTTAATAAGGAGATTCTAAATGATTGTACTCACAAATTGTTCAATTTGAAATTATAGTAAACATTTTTTAGATATTACTCTCTAAAGGGTGGTCTTTTTAATGGTTGAATAAATGCATTATTTCTGCATTTATAACACAAAATCAATTTGTAAATAGCAAAATAGGTCTACCATAAAAAAATTAATAAATTTTAGTGTCGGTGTGGTTTATAAGGGTTGAAAATATTAAGTAGTTGCTAAATAAATTTATATATATATATATATATATATTATATATATATATATATATATTAAGTAAATTAAATTCAACTTACAGTAAAATGCATTATTAGACAATTTTCTTTGTAATATTGTTCTGAAGCTATTTTCTTGTGACATTTTAAAGTAATTACTATTTACGTAAATGGGAATAAGCTACAATTAAAGGTTAAAGTTAGTTTATTGACGTTTTAATTTCCACTTCGGAAATTGTTCTCAAAATACAAACATTAGTAAATTAAACAAATTTTGTTTTTTTTTTGTTACTTGGTGAAATTTTTTTCTAATAATTTAATTTTATCAGACTCATTTATACTGACAATTCAGCCATACATTATACATTAAAGTAGACGACTTTAAAATGATATTGCCAATATTGTTGAGTTGCGTTCCTGGGACGACTGTACTTGTAAGATAGTTCATTTGATTACATGAAATCAACTTTAACTTAAGAATATCCCTCAGAAAAATAATAATGAATAAAAAATTCTAGTGTATATTGACGAAAACATCCAGAGTCTAAATTATGATTTATGTACAATGCATGATGTATGATTTTTTGTATGTTTGCCTTCAAACTGGTAAGTATATAGGTGCTGCATGCAGGTGCATGTATACAATATAAAAAAAATTGGTATTTCTGGGCAGTGGGTTGGCTCTACTGTCTTTTAGGGTTATGATTATAAATAAAAATGGAGGAATCGCAGAGAAATTCCACTGACGATTTAAAACTGCCTTCGTACAGTCCCCAATTATTATATATTAAAGATTGATGGACCTGAAGAAACTAATGATAAAGAGTCTGAAGAAAACGAAAAGAACACAGAAACATTGAAAACAGAATTTAATTCGTGCATTTAATTTAAAATGTGCAGTCCAATGTTTAGACACACTTTGCCACTATCAAATAATCCATTTGCTTCCCCACAAAATAAAATATCAAAAGGTATTCTAAAGGCAGCTCAGTTTAATATTAAAACCAACAATACCACCTCGACACCGTTTGTATTAAAGCCCAGTCAACTTAATCCCGTTAAGAATTCTAGTAATAAGACCAATAGTAAAAAATCAGTTAATAATTATACAAGAGTAAATGGAGACATGCCTATGGTAGTACCTAGAAAACTAACACAAAAAGTTGCAGAAACAATACCTCAACATGTTAAAACCAAAATTTCTAGTAATTCTTTTGTATTCGGACAGAACTTAAAAAAAATGAGTGACAGAAACTGAAAATAAAGAGGAATCTAAGGCTTCAACAAGTTTAGGGGATAATGGTACTTCAGAAATGTTGTTTAGCAGTGCTATCAAGAGCTGAACTTAAAGTCGATCCAGCAGATACTTCAAAAGATTTTAAAACAAATATTATTTTTAAACAAAATTTAAAACTCACAGTATGGTGGAGATATGTAGATGATGTATTCTCAATATGGCCTCATGGATCAGAGATCACAATATTAATATTAAAAAGGGAATCATTAAATCCTTATACGATAGAGCCAAAATTACATGTTCTAACGAAAGTTCGTCCTTGGAGGAAAAACATTTGTAACCTGTTTTATTAAAAACTGATTATCCATTATCGTTTATAAATAAGGAATTTTCAACAATCCACCGAATAGAACAGGACAACTTAGAACAAGATCTTAAAGCATACACAAGAAATAATATGAGGAAAATAACAATACCATACATAAAAGGATTATCAGAAAGACTTAAAAGGATAGGAAATAATTTTAACATTTCAACAACATTCAAAATAACAAACACATTGAGATCTATTTTGTCTAAAACCAAACCTAAGAATGAACAAGAAAGGACAAAGAATTGCATTTATAAAATACCTTGTGAATGCGATCAGTTTTATTTAGGTCATCAAAGCCATTAAATGTTAGAATAAGCGAACATCAATCTTATATATATATATATATATATCGTCGGTGACCTGGCAATATCTCCTATGTGACTTCACCTAAACTTTTCAGGAGAGACAAAAAACTTTATAATTATAAAATTTTAATACATTTCAATTGTTTGTTTGTGTTTGATGATCTGTGTGAAAGCGACATTTTTACTTCTTATGAAAAAAGTTAATATTTAATTGAAATTAGTTTTGTAAAGCTACTTAGGAGGTATTGCTTTAAGTAATGTTACTCATAGGAGATACTGATTTTATTTAATGTGAACTTAGGAGTTGTTATTTATTAAAATTAAGCATACATGCCCTTTTATATAAATAAAATTAAATAATTCTTTGAAATTAAACATTAATTGAATTAAACAGTTTTATTCATGGTAATATAAAACACTTATTATTATAAAACACAATATTAAAACTTCGAAAAACAATGAACAAAAATTATTGCATAAGTAGGTATGTTTTTATTTCTTTTTAGGCAGTTTTTATTTCTATGGTCCCAACTGGATCGTATTTGATACATTTTATATCAGTAATGGTTGGATCATACCTATATCGCTTTTCTTCCTGGTCGGATTGAGAAATATCGCATGTGGTTGGAGGATTAATAGTCTTTAAAAAACGTATGGTCTAATATTTTGACTCTATATGGCTTAGTTCCCTTCCTTGCTTGAGCTGTAATGAAAGCATAGTCACTGGGTAAATTAATTTTCCTATTTTTAAGACTCCTTTCTATCATACTATGTACCTAGTCACATTCCATTTGAGAGTGACCTGGTTCAAAACACTAACACATTATGTTTGATAGCAAAGTTTAGTAAAGCGTTGGAAAGGACATTAATACAATTTTGATAACCGCATCCGTCCGAATAAATAACTACTGGCGTTTTGGAATCGGCAACACACTTCTCCTCTAAATAATGTATACTATGATACATGAAATGTGGATGTTTTGAGCTGGATACTTTCGTTTTCCGAAAACCAATGGCACATAACATTGTGAGTTTTTAGGTTGTAAACTGTGAAGTTATGGCAGGACAATTTGGTTTTAAGGTACATTTTGTTCGCTGGTACATATGGGCACAGTTTTACGGCTTGTAGGTTCATTGTTAGTGCTAGTATTTTATCCTTTTCACTTATGGCTATATCCAAAGTTTAAGCTTCTCTGGCGTCTTTCTTTCTCTTTATATGAGCTTTATATTCTTCTTCCGTCATATATTTTTGAGAATATGTTGCAACCTCAAGGAGTTATATTATTTTTTGACAAAACCTGTTTACATAAACACCATATAAATCTGAAATACTGTTAAAAAAATATTCTAAATACAATTTTTGTGTTTCACTACAACAATAGTGTGAAGTAAGTTTGGGTAAACTCTCAAAAAATTGTTCCAAGTGTTTATGACTTTCTGTATACTTAGTCCTTACCATTTTCCGTCCAATAGTGAATGGTTTTATAACCTATATCTAATGTATTTGTGAACATGCTACGACATACTTGTAATTTGTGTTTTCATTCCTTTTTATGTAAGTAGTAAGTGTATGTACCTTGTCTTCTTGAATTTTCATTGATTGATTTAAATGTTGGAGTTTTAACTACATAACTTCTGCACTGTTCTGTAAATTCCTTGCAATATCTTATTTTACTTACGTGCATACCATTTTTTACTAAATCCCAGGTATAATTTACCTTTCATTCGAAGTTTTTTGTTTCTGTATTTTCTCCATTGATTTTTATTCTGACCAAGCTTTCTTTTTCTCTTCAATATTATTGTTTATACTAGTATAAGAACTTTCTTGAACATTACTGGTATTTCTAACTTCATTAGTCTCTTCTTTGTCACTAGAAAATTCATATGGCATAAGAGATACCTCTCTTTTATTTTGTCCAATTGACAATAGTATTTGTTTATTTGTTAAATTATATAACAGAGGTTTACAGAATTATTGGTATCACAACTGCTGTTATTAAAAAAATGCATTTCTTTATATACACAATCACTTGGTATAACACAATTATTATTTTCCGCTAAACAGTGTACTTCGTTAAAGTCTTTTAAGCAATCTGTTGTCAAAGTCTTCTAGCTTCGTACAATTTTGCATTGCTGTAAACATAGTAAGTAAGAATAGCACAGAGGAGAAGACTCCTTAATGCTGAATTGGTGACTCTGTATGGAACTGAAAACATAGTAAGACATACCTAGGCAAACCGAATAAGATGGGCAGGTCACATGGTACGCTCAGAGAATAATAGAGTGTTAAAGACAGTGTTTTTTGAAAGACCACATGGTAGAAGATCAGTAAGCCGATCGAAAAAAAAGATGGAAGGATGATGTTGAAGGCGATTTATCTATAATTGGGGTGCAACAATGGGAAATAGAAGCGCAAGATCATAGAGGGTGGAGGGCAATAGTGGATTGGGCGAAGACCCACCCCGAGTTAAAAAGCCAGTGGAGAAGTGAAGAAGAAGAAGTAAGCATAGTAATAGTATGATTGTCTTCAGGCAGAGGCTCGTCTAATACCATAACCATATGCTATGGTTAGGCTATATTTAGGTTTTCCCATGTCGATTTCATCAAAGTTTGTCAGTTGGTTTTATCGTTTTAGTTTAGAATCTTATTACTTTAGATTTTATAACTACATAATATTACTAATAATATGTACATAATATTGTGTGAAACTTACCAGAAATATCGTATTTCGTTGAAAAACAACTCAGAGTCTACTAGCATTCAATACCCTATGATTACAGCATACAAACTGACAAGATAGGACATGTTGCATATAGTTTACTGCGTGAATTTAAATAGGAGAAATTACAAGTAGCATTTCTATATATTTAGACATTTTTCTCGTTCATAGGACTTGTACGGACGAATCTTTGGTGTAGGCAGATTCCGAATTCATCGATAACTCATTTTCGTAAAAAAATGCAGATAGGAGAAATTGCCAGGTCACCGACGATATATATATATATATATATATATATATATATATATATATTATATATATATATATATATATATATATATATATATATAATACAATATAATATAAACGAATCTTTATTTACATACTTAAATATGATTAATATTTAAATAACGCATAAATGTGCAGTTTTATTTTTTGATAAAAAAGGGTAGTCTCCTCACAGGTGAATCTAAAAAGCTCTCTTACAAGTCCTCAAAAATGTTGCCTTACACGTTTTCATGATAAGGTTATACAAAGACCAATCACTACTTGTCAAAGCTCAGAAACACGATAGTCTTCAGTCAGCATTTACTCTTGCCCTAGCTGAAGAGCAACAAATTAAATCGCAAGCAGAGATTGCAAAGTATCAATTTCCTTCGGAAAACACCTGCATGATATGCAACAAACCTGGTCATCTTTCGTATAATTGCCGACAAAATAAAAATTCAGTTCGAAGCGGACACTTCGACCGAAATTTTAATAAAAATCGAAACGAAACGCCTAATCTGCCCTCTTCCTGCAAATTCTGCAAATATTGCAAGAGAGAAGGAAAACGTCAGTATAATAATTCCCAGAGATATAATAATACTCCTCATAATAATTCTAAAGCACCTAATACGTCTGGAATAAATGCATGATTAATATTTAAATAACGTTTAAATCTACAGTTTTTAAGGTATGGTAAAAAGGGTAGATTTCACCTCTTAAAACCAAAATCAGACATTATATTCATATAACTTTTGAAGAGGTAGAAAAGTTAAGCTTGCTTGCAATTTTTTTTTATATTTTACTGTGAAAGAATGGACTATCAATCATATATATCTAACCAAAGATGAATAACAAATTTACTAACTTAAATATAGCCAATACTCTGTGTTGGCATTTGAGCATGTACTTATTAGAGATTTTTTGGAAGAAACATATTGAACACAATTATCTAAAACACCAAAGTTGAAACGACTACTAAAAGAAACGTAAAAATATAGTGAATTCCCGTGAATTCCACTTATTAAAAAGAAAACTTATAAGGATTTGACTTTCGTCCGTAAATGCCAATATTCCTCAAGCTCTATTCTAATTTCTAACAAGGCTAACTTGATAGTCATTGCTATCGCCATATTTTATAATCCATAGTCTATTATGGCCTAAATATCTAAGTGTACATTGCACAAAAGTTTAGGTTTTATGTAATAAAATATATTACTAAATCTTCATTTGTAATAAAAAAAGAATCAAACTGTTTTACAAAGAAATATTACTCACACCGGCAACGCTGTAGAAGTCGCTTTTAGTACCGAGCACTCCCGATCGATTTATTGACGTTTTAAGCGATTTTGAGTCATTA